GGGCCCGGAGCGCGGCCGCGGCCCGAAGACGCCGCCGGGGGCCGGGCGCGCGGGCGGGCGCGCGGCCGAGGGCGGGCGGCGGGAAGGCCGGGGCCGGGGGTCGCGGCGGGGTCGGCCCCGCGTGATCCATTCCCCGGGCCCCCGCCGCCCGGGCCGGGGGCGGGGGGATGGGGCGGGGCCTCAGCCGAGCGGCCGCCCATTGGCCGCGGGGCCCCGAGGAAGGCGGGCGGGCCAATCACCGTCCGGCGGGGGCTGTAATCGCCTCGCGGCGGGGAGAGTGTAGGACCGAGCGTGAGTAACTGTGCGCGCGTTCGCGAGTGTGGTATGTACGTGTGTGCACGTGGGTGTGCGCGCGCGCGTGTGTGCGTGTGGATGTGCGTGTGCACGGGGGGCGTGAAGACCCCGGGACTTCCAGGAAAGCGTCAGAGGCTGGGCCACAGCCATTTGTTTCAAGACTGTGGCTGCAAAGCTGTGGCATATTTCAATATTTACATTTAATAAAATATGCTTTCCACGCTGAATATGGTGCCGTAGAACTCTCTAGTTCCCAGGCTCAGCCCCAGAACGTAAGGAAATGTTTGCCCCCACCCCCGCTCCTGGCGCCCGAAGGCCCGCACAGCGAGAGTGGCTCCCCAGCGACCGGCTCCCCGGGAGGCCCGGGACTTAGTCGGGGAGCGTGGGCCACTGCCCCTGGCCGCGGAGCTCTTGGGGGCAGGCCCCATCCCTCACTGAGCCTCCGTTTCTGGATGTGAACCCGTGGGGAGTCTCCTCCCCCTTTCTGCAGCAGGGAGCGCGGGGACAGGAGTGCATTCCGGCCCAGCCATCACCCTCGGAGCTGTGTCCGCTCAGGAGTAACCTTGTGACCAGGCTCTCAGCCCTATCGCGCGGGTGGAGCCGGCTTCACCAGGGGCCCCCAGTCCAACCGAGTGCTGCCCGCCATCTCCGGGAGGGCTGCAGGCCTGGATTGTTTCAAGTTTCCGATCAGCCACCCGGAGGAGCATCAACCCCATTTTCCAGAGGGGGAAACAGAGGGAGGCGAGGAGAGGAGAGACTGCCCCAGATGGTAAGTGGCTCTAGCAGGCGTGTAACTCCGGAGCTGTGGGTCTAGAGTGGGCACCACGTCCCCGGAGTCAGATGCGGGAGCCAAGGAGTGAAGCCCAGACATCAGGGCAGGACAAGGTGAAGCTGGTCAGGTTCTGCGATGCTGCAGGTCCCCAGGGCATTTCCTGGCATGCCTGCCTCCAACCAGCTTCTCCTGGTCAGCCCCTCACTAGCCCAGGAGCTCGGGTGCTGGGACCGACAGGGGGGTTGCATTTCAGCAGCCTCAACAAGCAGGTGCTGTGCCCATCTTCTCTGGTCTTCACATCCCACCCCTGAAGGGGCAAAGACGGTCAAAGACTGGAACTCACCCCAGCCTGGAGGCAGACAGTGGGATGAGGGCTCTTCCCACTTTGCGTAGATAAGGACACTGAGCAAAAGTGACAAGAGCTGGGGTCTTAGAGAAGAGTTGGGGTCTGCCAAGTATTGTTCCCTGGGGGCAGCCAGGGTAAGAGAAACTCCGGCAGGGGAGAGCCAGAAGGGGCTAAGCCCAGGGAAGAAATGGCAGCCTCAGTCCTTTGATAAGTGCTATCCTGGGCTAGCAGTCTAATTGGGGGGCACTTCGGATAGTTGGGAGGAAACTGAGGCCAAAGAGGGACCCAGATAAGAAAACAATGGCTGTGAGGATGGGTGCCTTCCAGATAACCACCGACTTTAGGCAAGTTGTCCTGGGGCCACCTTCAGCATGCTTCTTGAACCACAAGCCTGAGAGGTTCGTGCCCAGTTTATTCCCATTATTTCCAAGCACCTTGAGAGTGGGGGCTTTCTGGGGAGTCTGGGTTTTGATTCTCTCTGCTCTCAGGCTGTGTGGCCCTGGGCGCCAGGGCTGGGGGGTGGTGGTTCTGATCTGGGTTTTTTCTCCTATGAACCTCTGGTAGGAAGCACCCAGCCACGCAGGCTCGCCTGCGAGGGAGGCTGGGTGCTCCCCGGAGGGGGTCCCAGGCACCCGGGCTCTCCAGGGTCGCCCCACTGCCCCACTGCCTCTGCTGAGCGGGGGGACGAAGGAAGGTCGCGGTGGGAGGCGAGGGGTAGGCTGAACACAAGCGGAGAAGCCAGAGGCCTTCTCGGCAGCCAGTCCGGGGTTGCGGAGGGCGCTTCTCCACGGCCGGCACCGGTTCGCCACGACTGCAACCGCTGAGCGCCAGCGCACTGCGTGGTCCTCCAAGAGCGGACAGATGGTTGCCGCTGGGGCACTGGGTCCCTTAGGGAGGAGAGGGAGCCGCACGGTGCTCGCCCAGGCCTCCCGCCTCTGTGTGCTGCGCGGGTCCCTGAGCCAGAGCCCCGCAGCCCAAGGGCAGCCCTGCGTTGAGGTGGGCAGAGAGGCGGGTTCCTAGACAGGATTGCGGGCAGAGGCGGGGGCCAGGATCACCGCCACGGAGGCTTTGCGCCTTCCGCCTGGCGGGTAGCTCCGAGGGGCTCTCTGTTTTCAACCCCAGGACATTCTCCTGTCCCGGCACTCTCTCCAGACTGACACTGCCCCGTGGGGGCCCTGACCTGAACGGGGTTTCTGGCACTCAGCGGGCCAGAGCGCAGTCTTCTGGTCACCTGTAAGCACCGCGCAGAGGGACTCCCAGTAGTCCCCTCTCTGCATCTCTGCCTCCGTAGCTGCCCTTCCTTACTTCTCTGTCTACTCTTGTCCTTCCTTACCAGCTCCAACTCTCCCCTTCCCCTGTGCAGGGGGACCCCCACAGAGTCTCAGCAAATGGTCCCAGAGGACACCCAGTGCTCTTCTCAGCTGGACAGTGAGCAGAGACCCAGCCTCATTACCCAAGTCCCAACTGCAGAGCCTGGGGCCAGTCACCACAGATGCCCCTTAACGCAAAGAAGTGTTGATGGGAATCATCCCAGCAGCTGGGATAGGGAGCCAGCAGACTGTGGCCGGCCACCACCTGTTGTGTTTGGTCTTAATAAGCTTTTCCTTTTTAAGAATAACTTTAGGGGGGCACCTGGGTGGCTCAGTGGGTTAAAGCCTCTGCCTTTGGCTCCGGTCATGATCGCAGGGTCCAGGGATCGAGCCCCACATCGGGCGCTCTGTTCAGTAGGAAGCCTGCTTCCTCCTCTCTCTCTCTCTCTCTGCCTGCCTCTCTGCCTACTTGTGATCTCTGTCTGTCCAATAAATAAATAAAATCTTAAAAAAATAAAAATAAAAATTTTAGGGAATGTCCGCTTTTATGTATTCATTCTTATGTTTAAATAATCTCTACACCCAACATGGGGAATGTCCACCTTTAAATTCAAATTTTGTCTTTCTCTTGCTCCCTTCATCTCTGACCCCAATCCCATTTGTCCTTAGCTCACCCCCATGCTGCCCTGCATATGAGCTCTTGCGCATTAATTTACATTCCATACCTCCCCTACCTCTTATTTTCTTTTTACCTTAAAGCGTAAATTTGAGATCTCTCTGCACTCAGTTTTAAATTATATGTTCTAACCCAACAGCCGCATATGCCATTGTTCCAGTTACTGTGGCCGTGTCACAGGTTTCCCCAAAACTTAGCGATGAAAAACAGCAATCTGTTAGTGGCCCGTGGGGTCTGCGAGTTGGGGCTAGCTTGTCTCCAGTGGAAGACTTGAACTTGGGGATAGGGGATGAGGTCTGGACTCATCTGAGGGCCAGGTGGTGGTGGCTCCTTTATCCGAGGGCTGGGGCTGGAGTCTGCTGAGGAAGCCCTACATGGGTCCTCTCCGTGTGACCCGGCTCCCACACAGCTTGGGTTTCCAGAACAAATGCAGGGGTGAGGGGCAGAGGGAGAGGCACGCAGACCTGGGAATTCAGAGCATCGCTCCTCTGTGCTCTGTGGACTGCAGTAGTCCCAGAGCTCTTCAAGGCTCACAGCGAAGGGGCCGGGACCCCATCTCTTAGTAAGAGGGTCCTCAGATGATGGGTTGGGTAATCTGTAGTTGGTCAGAAAGAGACACACACACGCCATACGGAGCGCGGGCTGCCCCGTTGGGGACGTTCAGTTTGCCGCCCACTTCTGCTATTGTCCATGTCGCTGGCAAGAACATGCCTGCCAGAATTTCTGTGTATCCAGAAGGGCACCCCTGGGCTAAAGGGTCCAGAGAGATCCAACATCGCTCAGCGAAATCAAAAGAGTCTTCAGAACAGCTCCCTTAGTGCCCCTGTCCACACATCCTCATGAGCACTTGGTTTTATCCGACGTTCATCGGTGATGCTGTAACTGACACGTGTTTGGGAAATCAGGTTGCTTTAAGCAGTGATTCTCTGGTCGTTCATCGGATAAGGTGGCTGTGCCCCCAGAGGCAGGGAGATGAAGGGGACGTGGGAGAGCTGCTGGGGATGAGAGAGCAGGGATCAGACAAGAGGGCCTGTGCACAGAGAGCTGGAG